TGGGAATGGAACCAAGAGGAGGAGAATAAAATCCTTAAATAGGGTGCCAAGTCCCGAATTTAGGGTTTCCCAAACCCTGGCCAACTCGCTATATCGGTCCTCTTACTCGTCGAGTATGTCACTTAACTCGCAACCCAGAATGCATTCCTACTCATCGAGTCACCCCACCTACTCGACGAGCCTCCTTCTGATTTTGAGGTTTTCCTTTCTTTTCTAGGTCTTCTGATTTTGGGGTGTTACACATGAGCAGAAACCTGAAATGAACATGATGTTAATAAAAACAAGTATGGATCAGAAGCTAATGTCACACGAACACTTACGACTTGGGAAAACGAAATAAACTTTTGAAGCACCTCCTTGGCTTTGAAAATTTCCAGGTTTAGATCCATGGCTTTTGAGGTCTTCCTCTTACAGGAGCTCAGGGTCTTCACAATAAGATCAATGTGAGATTTCTTAAGAGGAAGAGGTAAGGTAGTTTTTTCTCTCTTGACTAAGATCAGGCCATTGGACATATCGACTTCGGGATCAGATAAGATGGATCACCATTAGAGTAACCTTGGATCCTATACATCGTACAAGATCCTCGTTAGTTCAGGATCCTCATTAATTAAGGATCCTCATTGATTCTAAACTATCATAGGAAAGACATGGATTCTTACTAGTATCCTTTGATGCAATGGTGGAGGAACCTTCTTGGAGACTAGAGTAATCGAATTTGAAAGACCTGTCAGCTGTAGAAACAGCGAGAAGCTTCTCTATCTTCTCTTCGGTATCCTTGGTGACCGGGATAAGTTCTTTAAACTTGAAAGCTACAAAACATCAAACAAACTAATTAAATGTGAATTCCAGGATCCTTAGTACAAGGAAAAATTATTCCTACCCTTTTAACCCAGGCCTCCGACAGGGAATCCCCACCAAGGATCGAATCACGTCTCACAAAGAAGTATTTCTCCTTCCAAGCATCATCATTATGTTTTGTTTTTTGAATGAGAGGGGATTTGTGGGGTTTGAGCCTAAGAAGAAAACAAGAGCTTCCAAAGGTAGTAAGATCATACACATGAGTTAACTCAGCTAAACCTATATCTAGATCTTTGGAATGGTTCAGTTTGTCAATCCAAAATAAGATTCTCCAAACAATAGGCATGACTTGGATATAAGAAATTTGGGAACTTTAAAGAATTTGGAGATGATCCCGAAAAGGGGTATTTCATACTCAAACCAAAGGGGTATTTAGGAAAGCAGACCCAAGAGGAGGAAGTGAAATTAGGTTGGTGCTTTGGATCGAAGGGTTTGAAAACAACTTCATTGGAGAAAGTGCCAATTGTTTTCAACGACTCGATATTATACTCATCGAAAGAACAAATCTCATCGTAGGATAAGATCTTTTGGTCGACGAAACCATCCTCAGAAGGAGCGAGTGTGTTCTTACGATATATGGTCATTTTCTTGCCCATTGTCAGTGAAAAGAAAACTAAGGAGAATAAGTGAGAAGTGTACCTTCAAAGACGACTGGTAAACTCGTAGATGAAAGCTAAAAGACATGGGGAAGAATAGCCCCAATCGATTGCCTCTATTTATGCTGGTGGCAGAAGAAAGAGAGAAGTCGATTTGATCGGTTATAATGGTTCTTGAACAAATAAATTCTATCAATTAGGGTTTAAAATTCAAAACCTCTTATTATATTTGTGTCTTTTTATTTTTAAATTATCCTTTTAAATTTTTGGCAAACTAACTCCAAAGTATTTCACAGGAATAATTTTTGGGCAATTGTTACAGCTAGGATATCAGGACTACAATCAGAATCCTCAAACCTCAGGATCCTCAAACTTCAAGATCCTCAAACCTCAGGATCCTTGCTATTATTTTCCAAATATGTATAACGATTATATACTCCGTTATCTCTCTCACATGTGCAGAAATAATCAGTCAAAGACATATTCTCAATGAATAGTCGTCATAACCTAGCAAAATACTTGGAAGACCAAGTCAAGCAACGTCTATAAGTTGATCTTGTAGGATCCTAGAATTTTCAGAGTTCTTGTTATTAGCTTTAGACTATAAAAATCACTTGTATTCATCATACTACACACGAGACTTAGCAGAACAACACTTGTACTTATACTCTTTACATTTTCTTTGTAATCGATATTCTCAATCAATAAAATTATCAAGGCAGGTGATCATTATCACCTCCTAATGTTTTATGCAGGAGATCCTAGCAAGGATCAATGCATTTCCTTGTAAACAACTTGTATCACTTTGATCAACATTTTATACTTGCATTATTCTGAACATCATAGCCTCTCATATACTTTTGTTGATTCTTGATTGTTCATTTTTTGACCAAAACAATTAGTAGCTTGTAACTTGTAGCGGAAAGTTTTTATTTATACATAAGTGTTCGGTAAAAATAGTTGTTATTTTTTTTAAAAATATAAAATTACATAAAAATAAAAGCTAAAAAAATCAGAAAAATTAAAAGCTTCTAAAACTACTTGAAGTAGCATTGGTGTTAATATCCAATGGTCGAACAAAGTCTTTTTATTTATTATTATTATTATTATTATTATTATTATTATTATTATTATTTTGCATAAAACTCCGAAAAACTTTCAAAAACTTTGTACCATACACACCCATTTTTCTATGTTTAATATAAAGAATGATATTGTTTAAGTAACCCATAATGACACAATTTTTCTATAATATGTAATGCTTACTAATTTTACGAAGGACTGATGTCATAAAACCCTTAATTTTTTAAGTTTTTTGTGGGTTTTGCCTAAAGTTGGATTTTATATATGTTTTTGCCCTCATATTTTTTGAAAAATGTTCGGTTTTACCATTTTACCGTTGATTATAGTTTTTTCCAAATTATCATGATATTAACTTCTCAAAAAAACTTAAACTTATAGGTTTTTTTTAACCCTTTATATTTTTTTTATAATTACTTTTTTTTCATATTATATGTATCATACAAAAAATTCATATTTGTATACCAAAAAATGGTTAATTAAATATTGTGTTTATGTTCTTTTTTAATGTTGTTTATATATATATATATATATATATATATATATATATATATATATATATATATATATATATATATATATGAGTTTTTTGCTTGATTATACTATTTAAAACATAAAAAGAAGAGAAAATGATAAAAATAGCCATTTACACTAATAGCATTACAAAAATAGTCAAAAAAAAAATCGAAATTACAAAATTAGCCAACGATTTCGCAGATGGAGATGCCCCATCTGCGAAATGAGCATCTCATCTGCGAATGTACAAGCACCTAAAGCACAGATGTGCTTTAGGTGCTTTGTACATTCGCAGGCGCTTTTAATTTTTTTTAGTATATATAGGGGTAAAATCGCAGATGGAATAGGTCCATCTGCGATTTACTCTCACTTTATCTGCGAAATTGTGGGTTTTTTTTTTTACTACGAAATGAATTGGTTTGACTGAGAAAGTAAAACAATCTACAAAACTTTTTATATAGCAACATGATTTCGTAGTCAAACCAATTCATTTCATAATCAAACTAAAAAAAAAATACAAAAAAAAAAACCCTACAATTCCGCAGATAGAGTGAGAGTAAATCGCAGATGGACCTATTTCATCTACGATTTTACCCCTATATATACAGAAAAAAATTAAAAGCACCTGCGAATGTACAAGCACCTAAAGCATGCTTGTACATTCGCAAATGAGATGCTCATTTCGCAGATGGGCATCTCCATCTGTGAAATCGTTGGCTAATTTTGTAATTTCGATTTTTTTTTGGCTATTTTTGTAATGCTATTAGTATAAATGCCTATTTTTGTTATTTTCTCTAAAAAGAAAAATTAATATGTTTTTAGAATTACAAATACGTATTAATATTTCCAAAATATAAAAATATGTATTTGTACTTCTAAAAAAATTATAAACAAAAGGTTAAAAACGTAACAAAATTTATAAACAAAAAGATTTTTTTACGAAGTTAATATATAATAACCTAAAAAACCTCTATAATTACAAGTAAAAGGATAAATTCAAATATTTTTTAGAAAACATAAGAGTTAAATAAACATAAAATCCAATTTTAGATAAAATAAACTTAAAAACATGAAGTTAAAAACATGAAGGAGTTTTATTGCATTTGTCCTTGAATACATCAAATAAATCTTAACTATCACTAAACTTTTTTACTTAACTCCGTCCGTTTTCTCTCCGATTAACCCGTAGGATTCATTACATATTGCGTTAAACATCATTTAAAGTCAAACTTAGGGGTATTAACTGACAGGACACAAAATATTGAAGGGTATTAATGAAAATATACGCCTTTTGACTTTACAGGTCGCGTAGTCAGAGAAGGGGAAGCCTTGTTGGGTACAAATAGCTACTCCACGTCACATCCCGTCGTCTTCAGTTACAGAGTCGATGATGAAAACCATTACAATGGCGGTGGAGGTCACATAATGCTCACATTGCAACTCCATCGCATGATCTCCTGATTTATCTCTCTCTCAGTCTCTCTCCGCCTCTTTAATCCGAACGATTTCATCAAAGCACCATTTACACAGGTATTCGAATTCAAATGTTCTAAATTCCGTTAATTTAAATCTCACATCGCGTTTTATGCTTCAACATTTGATAAAACCTAGAACTCGATCAACTTCTAGTATGTTTTCATCGCGTTGTTGCATGATCGTCAGAGGTTTGAATTTAGGCGGGAGTTTAAACGTTAAGTTCATCGTAATTTGTGTTCTGATTTGATAGTTTCGTCATTAACGCGTAAAAGTTATCGATTTTCAAGTTCAGGAATAGTTTTTTGCTTAAAATTTTAGTTTATAAGGTTTTGTTTGTGATGAATTGGTAGTTTCATCATCAACGTCAACGATTAGAGCTAACAGAGCATACATGTTTACATGAAATTGTTCATGATCGTGTTTGTTGAAAAACAATTGACACCTGTTTTGTTGATTGTGTAAAGTTAGCTACAAATGGATAATCTGTATGGTATTAGCGACTCAAAACTTCCTAAACGCGGCAGCATGTCACCTATACAGAACTTTGGGACTCAGAATCCTTACTTCCATTACAAAACTCCTGTGATCGATCAATATCCATCACCTGATGGCCATATTACTTCTTTTAAGACTGTGAACTCCCCACTCCTCCGATATCTGCAATCTTCTAGGTCACTTTTGGCAACGCCTTCATCAATTGGGGATCATCAGTCTTCAATCGGATACAAATATCATCGCAACAGTGTTACTCGGGGCTCTGATAAGTCTCCAAGAGTGGAGCCACCACATCGGCCAAGGTCACCTTTACTTTTTAGGAACACTGCAGTGAAGGTGGAAGAAGATGTGTTAGTGATGGATGGTGTCGTTCTGAAGAATCCACCAGTTGATAGAGGTAAATCTTCATCATCTTCTTTGCCAGATAGCTCATCATCATCATCATCATCATTATCATCCCCTGGTAGTAACAACTATAAGATGGATCTTTGTGTGTCTTACTTGGAGAAAGCTGGTTATTGCCGTTATGGAACCAAATGCCAGGTCTCTCTCTCTCTCTCTCTCTCTCTCTCTCTCTCTCTCTCTCTCTCTCTCTCACACACACACACACACACACACACACTGTCATGGGAGTTTTGAATTCCAAAATTGAACTATTTGATGGTATACATCACTAAACAAAAGTTACAAACAAGATTCAAATCAATCATTTTTGTTAATTGTCATATTGCATATGCAATCTGAATGTAAAATTCCTATAACATCACAAGATTTCATTTGTGACAGTTTGCACATGGAAATAAGGAGCTGAGGGCATCACAATTTCCTTACAAAACCATACTTGAGGTATTAAAGAATCCTACTTTCCTTCATCCTATTACAAATTACAACAAAATAAGTTTAAACTACATTGCTATTTCTATCATTTCCTAACATATTCTATCTGTTTTGCATATGTAGACCCCTTGCAAAAACTACAACATCTCAGCAGCAATGTCACCTATGAAAATAGAGGAATTCACCACAAACATTGCAAGCTTTAAAACCACTGATTGGACTCCTTTAGATGATGACATTGAGATTCAAAAAGGAAATGGTGACACCTTTTCAAAACATGACATTGATGCTTACATTAACAAGTTCCTTCATGGTTCTAAAAAATCAAAGAGGCTTCCAGTTTTCACTGCAATTTTCCTAGAATAGAGGTAAACACTAAACACTAAATACTAAAAACTAAATACATATACATGCATACTTTGCTATTTTTTTTGTGAATGATATATAGACAAATGAACTGCATGTGTGTAAGAAAATTGCTTATGTTGCTTGATTGGTACGACATGCTGATAGTAGAAACATAATTCCTTAAGTGTATGTTGTTTCGAATTTGGAATTAGTTTTTTTTTTTGTGGATAATTCCTTGGGTTGATTGGTTATATTTGATGATGAGGAAATGGAGGGTATATATGTCTTTTTGACAAAAAGCTCGATTTAACAAAAAGTTTTTTTGAGAGTACGATTGTTTAACTTTTAGTGTGAACAGAAAACACCAAATCTAAAAACTACTTAATGCAAAGTTAAAAAAAAAAAAAGGCTTTTGAGCTTTTTTAATCCAGAATTGCCCTTAAAAATGTATTTATATATTTATCTATTTTAAAATAATTGTCATTTTATGTAATTTTACACATCTCAGAAGCTTCCAACTACTTTTGCTAAATCTTCATATAACAAATAAAAGTTATAGCTACCAGCTAGTTTTACTAAACACGTCCTGTGAGTGGGTCTAGATCTCATTTTTTATGTGGGATAAAATTTAGGGTTAATGTCATAAATTGGCAATAGAATATTTGTTATGAATATTAAATCAATATAAACACATATACAATCACATAAAGCCTTTCATAATCCTTATGAAACCTAATGACATTGTGAGACAATTCAAGTTTCATTGGTCTTTCCTTTTCGTGCAATCCACATGGTTCTTCGCCACCAAGACTTACCATGGTTATTCAACAAATAGTGACTATGGTTCATAGCCATCGAGGCTTACCAAGTCTACCAAATATTTTCAGTCAGGGCTCTTAGTCACCAAGACTCTAAAAGTTATCAGCCACCCAGGCTTACTGAAACCCTAATCAGCATTGTTCTTAACTATCAAGGCTTACCATGACATCGATGATTCATACCTATCATGGATCTTAGCCACCAAGGCTTACCACAATCTACCATTAGTATCCCATCCTTGTGTTTCACAAAATTCAGCAAAAACATATAATTAACTACCAAATGTGAAGAAGGAAACATGGTTACTCACCTTTAAAGGTCACATGAGGATTAGCTTCCAATTCTTGCAATTGTTCACCACTTTGTGCCCCAAAGCTATTAGAACAACATAACATTTTTAAGCATTAATTTTTAGCAATATAACCACTCTTCAAATATTTATTTAATTTTATAATTTTCCGTAATCATCTTTAGTCACAACTCATTCTAGATATGTGATTAATTTGAAGTATTAACAATTTTCCCATTGAGTCATTATAACATCATCCAATGATAAATATCTTAATATTGTTTTCTTTGGGATGCCTTACACCGAACTTCTCAGGATCATCCATCCTGAAATTGCTCTTGTTTGGACATGTTCAAATGTAGACCCTACATACTGCTTATGAGATTTGATGACCTCACTATTTTAAAACACATTGTAAGAGGTAGGTATCCACATCCACTTTACAACAAAATACTACCTCCGTTCCAAATTAATTGTCCACATTTGACTTTTTCAGTTTTTATTCTTCAACTTTGATCTTAAATAATTTTCTTTTTGATAGATAATACTTAATACAAAACATATGAATAAATTGTATTTTAAATATCTTTTCATTGTTATAAGTTTCATCAAGTAATATATAACACAAATAAAAATATTTAAGATCAAAGTTGAAGAAAAAAGACTTCAAAAAATAGACAATTAATTTGGAACGGATGGAGTATTTTTTTACATTAAAGGAACAAACCAACAAATGATGTTAGTCTAACTAAATATGATGAATTTTTTAAAAAGTAAATATCATTGCATCATTTTTTAATTTTTAAAACTTAGACTAAAAATTGATACAAGTGTCAACCAAATGGCCAAAAGTAGAATTTATTGAATAAAAATTATTTTCTATCCAAAATGAACTCAAATCTGTAGCCTGTATACAAGCTAGTAAAAACAGAAACTATAACTGGATAAGCCTCTTCAACAAAACCAGAGCATACGTGCCACCCAATCAAAGATGACAGAATGACAATCGCCACTCTCTCTTTTACTTCCTCCTTCACTCCTCACCACACCTTCCACCACCGTCGCCGTCGTCACCACCTACTCAAACCCACCACCAAAATATCTTCACAGGTTTCCCTAACAACTCCCCCATCAATAACTCTTCAACCAACCCTCAAAAAGACCGGAGTTATCGTCGTCGGCGCTGGTCTAGCCGGCTTAGCCGCCGCCATACGCCTCCACTCCGAGAACATTCCCTTCCTCCTCGTCGAAGCTTCTGATGGCGTCGGAGGTCGTGTACGTACTGACAACGTCGACGGTTTCCTCCTCGACCGTGGCTTCCAAATCTTCATCACCGGTTACCCGGAAGCCCGAAGAATACTCGACTACGAAGCCCTAGATCTTCAAAAATTCTACTCCGGAGCTAAGGTTTACTACGGCGGTGGCTTCCATACAGTAGCTGATCCGTTACGCCACCTAGGTGATGCTATCCAATCTCTAACAAACCCGATTGGAACAATCGTTGATAAATCTCTCATCGCATTGACTAGAATTAGGGTTTTGACTCAATCCGATGATCAGATATTCTCTGCTGAAGAGACCTCCACTATCAATTTGCTCAAACGAATTGGGTTTTCCGATTCCATTGTGGATCGATTTTTCCGACCATTTTTCGGTGGGATTTTCTTCGACAGAGACCTCGAAACCACTTCCCGCCTCTTCGATTTCATCTTCAAGTGTTTAGCTCTCGGCGATAACACTCTCCCGGCGAAAGGAATTTCCGCAATTCCCGAACAATTAGCTTCAAAATTACCCTCCAATTCCATCATCCTAAACACACCAGTTAAATCCATCGATTCAGAATCAGAATCAAGCCACACTGTTAGATTGAACAATGGCGAGATTTTGAAGGCTGAACACGGAGTCATCATTGCAGTCGAAGAACCCGAAGCCGTTAAGCTTCTCGCCGGAAAATCAAACGACATCCCAGTTCAAATCAAGCCACCACGAAGCACCGTGTGTCTGTATTTCTCAGCCGATCGAACCCAAGTTCCAGTCCCCGATCCAGCTCTGTTCATCAACGGGTCCGGCCATGGCATCGTCAACAACATGTTTTTCGCCACCAATGTGGCTCCTTCATACGGCCCGCCGGGGAAAGTTCTGGTGTCGGTTTCCCTTATCGGATTATATGAAGATCTTTCCGATGAGGACCTGAAAACGAAGGTGGTGGAGGAGCTTAGTGGGTGGTTCGGGGAGGAAGTTGCAGTAGGATCCTGGAAATATCTCAGAAGTTATCGTGTTAAATTCGCACAACCAAATCAATGCCCTCCGACGGATTTACAGAAGAACCCTAAGCTAGGGTTAGGGTTGTATGCGTGTGGGGATTACCGGACTAGTGCGACGTTTGATGGGGCTCTGGTATCCGGGAGGAAGGCGGCTGAGGCTTTACTGAAAGATCGATCTTTGGTTCAAGCTTCATAAGCTTGAAAGAATGATAAAAGATAATACATTTGTAAATTGAGGTTCATCATTCATGTACTTTACATATTTTCAATCTAATATGTTTTATAACATGATTATAGTACATACTTTAAGATCTACTAATTGTAACATTGAGAATATATTTGTATATGAATGATAAAATAAAGGAGTTGGGGGTTTTAAATCGAAGTAGTATGGGTGGTGATAGTGAGGATGGTAACAATCAAAAGTAAATTTTTTTTTAACAATCACATATTTCTCATGGCTTATGCTTCCTAGAAATTTAATGTTGGTGGTAATAGTGAGGATGATTACAATAAGAATAGTTGTCATGGGATGTTACCCGGATTTAACATGGAGCATGGATTCACCAAAAAAGTTTGACCTATTTTGAAGGCCTATACAATTTAACAAAAAATAGGTCTTATTTCAAGTTCTAAAAATTTAAGCAAAAAAATTATAAATTTTCATTTCTATTGCTAAATAAATAAAAGTAAATTTTCATTTAAAATAATATACATTTTTTTTGCTTATACTGAAAAATCATCATAATATTCATTAATATAAACTTTTTATTAACATCTTCATCATCAGTAACTTTATCCAAAGTGGTGCGTTTGTATATCATCAAAGTCAATCCAATAAGTTGTTCTTTGGTCAATATAGATCGTAAGTATGGCTTCAAAATATTCAATTTGGAAAAAAATTGTTCTGCAATGCCACAAAAATCAAATTTATTTCAAATATGCAAGATATATATTTCATTATCAGAAAAAAGGAGCAATGATATAATTCTAATAAAAGATATCCAATGTTACAATATATTTTTTTGCTTATACTCGAAATCGCTCCTTATTAACACCCATTTCAAAGTAATCAATCCTGATGATCATGAACGGAATTTCTATACATATAATAGCCTTCCCAAGGCAACCGAAACCCGAACGAAACTCCTACCCTAAAATAACACCCGAACCTTTAGCCCTTGCAAACCGTCTTTGCCTCCTAAGACCTGAAATCTGCAATATCCTGATTCCTCGACAACTCGACCGTGCTGAACCAACCCATGTCCTCTCTCAGCGAATAACCAACCAATCATAACCCTTCCGAATCTGATCATACCACGACCTATCCCGATTTACTCAAACCATCCTTAGAATAATTCTTCAAGCTTGGTGAAGAACGACTCCTCGATCTTTCAATTAAAACCAAACTCACATATCTGGAATCCGAATCCTAAGTCTCAATGGTCTGACTCCCTGTCAGACCCCTCACACCGAACTGTCACCAAGCCATCCTTATAGAGTCTCGCACCACACAAAATGCTTCCAATCCCTGATCACATTGTCATCTCGACGGAAGCAAAATCACTGACCATCTGTTGATAAAGAACATTTAACTCGACAGGAGGCTCAGATAATCCTTCGAGTAGAAGATTCACCCCTGCAAC